CAGCATCAATCACCAGAAAGGTGAGAAAGCAGACCTTTACTCAGCTCCCCACCCCACCCTTGATTTAAAATTTTTCCAGCTGAGGCTTCAGACATCATGGAACAGAAACAAGCTGCTCCCATTTTTGAATTCCTGACTCTCAGAATCCTCAAAAAGAAATTTTATGGCCCTGAGTTTGGGTCACTTGTTACACAGCATTGGTAACTGAGACAGTACTTGGGCCAGCGAACATAAATTTAGATTTGTCTGAGTTCCTGAAATGAGTGCACTTCTTATCTATTCTGGAGTCAATAAGCGAAGTCAAGTAACTAGAGTTTACAGTTTTGCTCAATCAGTTCACTGAAACCTGGTTCTAGTGGTGGTCTTCCCTAAAGGAAGATGCAAAAAGAAAAGTTTGATATTATGAAGAGGAAGAGATATAAAGATTTGGGATAAATAAGAATGTTGATGAATATTTATAATTTGCAAACCACTTACACACACACACACACACACACTGTGGCCCTCAAAAGAGGCCAGAAGAAACTCCTTTCACCACACCATTGAAAAATACATTGGTGAGTGGAGGGCTGACGTCTTTGAAAAGGGACACTGCCGTGGAAACGGGCTCTCTGCTGAGCAGACCTTTGGCTGACAGAAGCCTAGCAGCACTTCTTCATTTCCAGAGACAAGATGGACATGGTTATGGTCATAGGGAATTGGTCAGCACAATAATTACATGATTCATAACAAAGTGATCTTCGACAGTGCTTTGACAGGATCCCCAGAACGAAAACACAGGGCCAACCTATTTAGATCTTTTTTGATATAAAAGAAAAAGTAAAAATAAACAACAATAAAACAACGATCTCCTAATTCTGAAGAACAAAGGCATAAAATGAGCTGTCATGATAGCATCAAAACTCAACAAAGAATGCCCAGACTGAGTCAGTTCATAGATCAGAAGCCCAGCAACGAAGGAGGGAACCCAGAAACCCCCTGAGGAAGGACCCTAAGATGACGTCACATGTAAGTGATGTATAAATCTTTCTTCTGGCCTTCTCCAGTGGGCTCTGCAGCCATTTTGCAAGGATGGCTGTGTGCTACTGGAGAAAGGAAAACACTTTTGGGGATTACTGGATATTTATTGGCTCTGAGCTAATAGTTAATCCATAGAAACCCAGGCTTTTACTCTGGCCCACTGGTCAGGATGGGAGCACCTGGGCACCAGGTGATAAGTCAGTTTTGAGGACCTAGTCAGCCTTAGAGTGGATCCAGTGCCTCCACAAAGCCATCTGGTTGATATTTTCCCAGGTCTCAAAAGTGAATTTGAATAAAAATACTCAACAAAAGCCCCATATTGGCCCTTGACCCCTAGAATAAAAGCTTAAATTATGATAGAAATGGCCAAATGTAGTCCGGAGACCTATGTGCTCTCCCAAAATGTTAAATCAAAAGCAGTACCACACACCTGGGGTAATCATAGAGACTAGGGCCACCGTTAAAGACTTAAAAGATGCACAGCTGGTGACTGTTATCACACTGTCATCTAATTTACCTATCTAGCCCTTGCAGAAGAGAGATGAGTCTTGCAGAATGACCAAGGGTTATTTTACATTCACATGACTTGTTGCATCATCAGGATGCTATTCTTTAGTAAAGAAAATATGTCTAGACCCTGGAATGTAGCTAGTGATCTGACAGTGCCTTTTTCTCTGTCCCAATGGATACAGAATACTAGAGGCAGTTTGTTTTTTCCTGGCAAGGACAGACTCAAACCTTCATTGGCTTCAGTGCCCAAGAGCAATACGAACTCACTGACTCTGTTCCATAACTAAGTGCACAGAACATCATAGTGGTCTATAAACTGGTGACTTTATACTAATGCAACCCAGTGCACAGGAAGATTAGCTAGGTGTGTTCATAAAACGCACACATATCAAAAGATAGAGGAGCTGAAAAATACAAGGACCTAACACGTCAGAGAAATTTCTGGGAGACCAGTGGACTCAGGTTTCTCAAAATGTCTCCTCCAACATGCAAGAAAAGTATTGTACTGTGCACCCCCCTGTCGCTGAGAAAGGAGAGCAGTGCTTGCTCAATCTTTTTGCATTTTGTAGAAAATATATACGACATTTGGTTATGCTTCTACAAATAATTAACAAGTCCGCTGAAAGTCGTCCAGCTTCGAGTGCGGCGCAAACCAAAGAAGACTCTAGAAGATCTAGACTACAGTGCCAATGCTCAATTTCAAAGTACAGTATCATTTTCAGTAAGTAACTATATATTCTCCTTTTGAGAAACCCTTGGCTTGCTGTTGGACCCTGAATGTTTGAGAGTGGTACACCTTGTGACCATGGAAATTAAGCTGGAAATAAGATATGTGTTATCTTATCTACTGAGCTATAAAGTCAGATATTCCTTGATGCATTCCGTCATCCCTTGGAAATGGTTTATATTTGAACAGATTCAAATCGGTCCTGAAAACACAAGTTGCAAGAGCAGGTGACCCATACTGTCATTCCATCTACTCTTGCCATGCTGCCATCATTGTCTCAATCCACACCTCTAGACTCATTAAGGAATTTCTATGACCAGGTGACTGAGAAGAAAAATATTCCAGTTTACTATCGTCCCATTGGATATGACAATCCTGAGAAGCACCCTATGGGAACCTCTATGTTATAGAAGTATTCTTCTGGCCCTCATTGTGTAGCAGTATTTCATTGTCCCTTTTAATGCAGCTCAATCACTCTACCTACAGAAGTGGACAGCTACATCATGACAATCCCACTCAGTGGTGACCTAATGATCACTGTAGAAAAATAAATACTCCCAATAGGCAGAACTTCAAATAATACATCTCATGATCCATTTACCTGGAAAGGAAGATAAGCCACAGGTCTACATTAATTTATGGTCAATAGCTAACGGTTTCATTGGATAGTCAGGGACTTGAGAAGAATAAGATTGGAGGGCTGGTGATGAAGAAGATTAGAACAAAGACCAATCTAGACGTGTAGACTATTCTAGAGTTCAAGATCATTTGTGTTCCAGGTGAATATACAAAAAGACTGACACTAAGTTTTCAATAAACAGTTGGACAAGATGACCTGCTGTGTGGATTTGTTAACCTCTTTCCACAATCATCCCAGTAATTTACTGAATGGTCTCATGGAAAAAGTGGTTATGGGGGCTGGCCCCGTGGCCGAGTGGTTAAGTTCTCGCGCTCCGCTGCAGGCGGCCCAGTGTTTCGTTAGTTCGAATCCTGGGCGCGGACATGGCACTGCTCATCAGACCACGCTGAGGCAGCATCCCACATGCCACAACTAGAAGAACCCACAACGAAGAATACACAACTATGTACCGGGGGGCTTTGGGGAGAAAAAGGAAAAAATAAAATCTTTAAAAAAAAAAAAAAAAAAGTGGTTATGGTTTCAGACAGAACTTATTTTTTCAAGCCCATTAATTCATGGGCTTAACAGCTTGGACTTCCTCTCCCTCCACATGTATAGATATTACTTCTGCTGAGTTCCCGGTTTCAAAGCAACAGTGGACAAACATGAGCCCTGCCATATGGTACCATACCCCAAAAGGAATAACCAGCCACCTGATGACAGGTTAATTACATAGGGCCTTTTCCAACATGGTGAATGTTGGAATCTGTCCTCTCTGAAACTGATACATTCTAGACATGGATTTGTCTATCTTGTCTACCAAGTTTCTGCCAGCAACACCATCTGTCAACTTACCGAATGCTTCACTCGCTGTCACCATTATTCACATAGCATTGCTTCTGACCAGGGATCTTATTTTATAGCAAAAGAATTACAAAATTAGATTGATGAATTTAGGATGCCTTAAGATTTTCAACCAGGAGCAGTTGGCTTTGTAAAGCAATGAAGTGACTTATTGAAGATTCAGTTTGGGTGCCTACTGGAAGATTTCACACAAAGTTGTGATGACATCTTGTAGAACACAATATATGCTATAAAATAGCCATTGATACATAGTGTTTTTTTCAACCATGGCCAGAACATATGCACTTAGAAACCAAAAAGTGAACATGGGAGTGGCACTTCCCACTATCCCCTCAACGGTCCACTAACAAATTTTACTTCACATCCTGGCACGTTCAACTGCGATGGTTTAAGGACCTTAGTACTCAAGGGAGAACGCTTCCACCCTTGAGACACAATTGCGTCTCAAACCACTTGACAAAGCAGACGAGGGGATTACCATGTCAGCAGTGGGACTGAGCATGATTAAAAAGGGATATTACTGCTACACAATGTAAATGTGGAAGAATATTTCCTAAACAAGGGTTCCTATAGGGTGCTTCTTAGTATTTCTATGTCCATTCATAAATGTTAATGGAAAACTAGAGCACCCTCATACGGGCAGAACCACCAGGGGCTCAAATCCCAAGGAACGGATGTTTGGGCTTCTCCACGGTAGGTAAAGCAGCCCAGTTAACTGAGCCAATACTGATCTGAAGATAAAAGGAATGTAGAATGGTTAGTTGTTGATGAAGACAGTTATAAACATCAACTAAAGACCCTTTGCAGAAAATATAACTGATTTTCTGTTTTACTCTTGCTTCATTTAGTATGTTTTGTTGGCATTTACTTTATAATTTAGTCCATATACTAAAAACATCAAGGCAGAGTTGAGAAAACATAACCATCACTACATATATTAGACCCAGAAAAGATTGCACTAAGTAAAGAGTCTTGGAGTCTCCTTGTCTGGGGAGAAAGTGAGGTTTTTTCTTTGTAGGAGAGATTGTCACCCTGTTAAGCAGGAACATAGTTTTTGTTGCTACTTTTAAGTTTGGAAAATAGATGTATATCCAGATAAAGGGTGGACTATAGTAGACCTGTTTTTCTGTGAGTTCTCAAACTATTTTAAATATTCTTTTTGCTTTTGATTTTTTCCTATTTTGTAAACCTTCTTTCCCCAGGTAAAGTCCCAAAAACTAGATATTTACAGACTCCTTTACAAATAGTGCAAGCAGTTACCTGGTTTCAGCCCTGCGGGAAAATAGGGTCTGCATGGGAAATTCATGTTTTGATGGTATGAATGGCGCCAGAGGTAGAGGTAGTGATGGAGTCTCCTCTCTAATCCGTGAAATACGGTTATGGAGTCAGTGGCAGTGGCGGTGGCCGCTTCCTCCTCAGGACAGATCTGTGGAGTGGTTCTGGAGTTTGTGGTGGTGACAGACAACAACTCCCTCCCGGTCTGTGGCGTGCCTCAAGGTATTGTTCCTGGAAGCTTGATCTGTTTCTCCAACTGTCCCAATGATCCTGTGTAAGGGACCAGAGAGTTCATCATTTGATCTAAGACACATTTGGGAGTAAAAGAAGATGCTGTTAATAATGTCAAGAATAGACCAGAACTGGACTGAACAGATGCGACACATAGTAACTCTAACACTGTGATTTACTTAATACATTTTGCTGCTTAAATTAGTCAGAATAAGACTTGCTTGTTTTTTCCTATGAATCCTAACAAAATACCATTGGATTTTTAGGATTATAAAATTAGTTAACAACGTAAGTGGACCCTGTGTCCTATATTGTGCCTATAGTACAGGGAAGAATATCCTGTTCTACATATTTATAAAGCAAATTCAGATTAATTCAAATCCATAGAATCTATTATATCAATATTAGTTGACTTAACGTAGCCATATGCTTGTTGCCTAAAGAACCATGACTTCCACTGATGTGTTGTTAATGAAGCCTAGGGAATGGAAACAAAATATTTTGTCACGAGGTTTTTATAAATAGTGGTTCACTGACATAGGTGAGTCGAGGTTGTTAAATACAATATTACTACGACAGAATATAAACTTAAAGAAATCTTGAAGTTAGTGTCCTTGTTAAAGTTGTCATTATCTAATTTCTCTGTAAGTCATTACTTTATGCTATGAATGATAGCTATATGCATATTGTTCTATGTTATAAATATACATATTTGTACTATAATACTACTAATTTCAGAAATCCAAGAAGAAATAAATATGGGTCTCATTCATCATTCCAGTGTCTTCATTCAAACAACGTTACCGAACACTTACTGGCACTTTACTCACTCGTTCAGCAATTCATATAGGCACTAGGCTAGGAGCCAAGAATACGATGATGAGCAAAACAGACATGATCCTAGGGACATGCATCTCGTAGTCTCAAAAAGGAAATGCAGTAATCAAATTATGATGCAAATAAATAAATGATTACAAACTGTAATGAATGCTATGAGGAAATGTATATGATGCTCTGGGACCTAGGTTATATGAGGAGTCAGGGAAGATCTTTCTGAGGAAATCACATTTAAACAGAGACCCGAAAATGACAAAACAATAACTAAGCGTGGGAGTTAGTGTGGGAGAAGAGGTTCCTCTAGACCGAGAGAAATGCAAGCAAAAGGCGATGAAGCAAAACCGGGCATGAATTTCAGTTCAAAGCACTGAAAGGAGACCCATGCAGCTGGAGCTGAGAGCAAGGGAGAGCAGGAACACAGTCAGCTCTGGAGGCAGCTGCCACCATCATGGCCCTGGGGGTGTGAAGAGGAAGGAAGGCTTGCCCAAGGCCTCTCCCCCTTCTGGGGAATTGGGTAGGTCAGCAACAACTTTACACAGAATACCAAGAACAGAAATTAGGTTCTGAGAGGATAGCTAGTGCCAGAATTCCACCTGAAATTGTAAAAAGCAGACAGAGATGGAGAGGGAAACCTGTGCCAAGGTCCTTGTGGGAAAGCCAAAAATTCGGAGTCCAGACACCAAACCAGAAACACCAAAGTCAAAGAGGACCTTTAGATAAAGATGTCAGACTGAATACACACATCTACCTGTCCTTTCTCTCCCAAATTCCTTAGCCTACAAAAAAGAATTTTCTAAATGTTCACTGATAAAGGATAATTGTCCTGAAAAACAAAAATTGTACCATCACCCAACCAGAAATTTGAGACAGAAACAAAGTGGATGGGAAATTGAAGGGAAATAAGAGCCAATAAAACAAAAACAAATAAAAACCTCACCCAGCCTAAAGCACAAACAGGAGAAAAGTACTTGAGTGAATTTGTATTTTATAAGCAAACATTGTTTATTATGAAAATTACCATTGAGAGGGACTTATACATCCTGTATTCTGTTGGGAACATTTCAGGAGGCCAGGGTCTTGGAGGGGGTTAGACACCTGGAAAAACAGCCCTGGGCAATTGATCTCCAACCAGTGCATTCTTACAGTAAGCGCTCAGGAATGTGCCTGGTGGTCACGAGTTACTTTGCATCTGGTGAACATTAGAAATGTAACCAAAGTCTCCAGAACAGTTGAGAGTGATTGAGAGACTAAAAAAAAACTCTGCATAATGGCAAAAAGACCACCGAAAAACCTTAGGAGTTCTGTCAGCAGATGGTGGTACCAGCAGCAGGACGCCCTCGCGAGAAATGACAGCCAGGTAAGTTTCCTCTCCAACAGCGAGGTTGCTCTCGTTCCTCCTGCTCCGCAAAGCTGTCTGGACGCAGCGACGTATACCTTTTCTACTCCCATGTAAGGAAGTTGTGTTATTTACCTGAAACTTTGCTGTCTTCCAGTCAGCACAATCATCTTTATAAAAATGGCATGATTGCCTTTTTTTTAATAAATAAATAAAAATTATCCTTGAAAAGCTCTTGAGAAAGGTCCACTTTGCAGACAATCTAAACTATCTTAAGCATCCAGCACAAGTGATTTTTTCCTCAGTGTTGTAACAGAATAATATTTCTTTGGTTAAACACCTAAAAAATGCTTGGCTTACATTTAGAAGCCATGTGATGACAGACAAAGCTGTATCTTTAATCATTATTGTCATACTAAATGTGGTGAGTGTTTTTACTACAAGAGGCACATGGATGCCAAATATGATGGAAAGAACAGCAGATTTACATCTCCCATCTGAGATTTGCTCATTCTGGGATGAAACTGAGTGAATAGAATGACAGGCAAAATCATCTGTCATATTAAAAGAATTTTTTCTTTATATTTCCCCTACAACATAATTGAATTCTGGAAAATTACATATGAATATAATATAAGTCCACTGTAAAAATAAGAACCATTCCAGATATAGTGCAAGCTTCGAGGAAGCAAAAATGGAAAGTAGAGTAGCTTTGGCAAAATTATCAGAGTAATTCATTAAATGGTGGTCTTTGGATAAGCCCCCTGAGTCAGAGATTTTCCTCTTCCCCTAGAGGAGTGAAGGGTAGCTACAAGAGCCGGCCCAATGGCATAGTGGTTAAGTTTGCATGCTATGCTTCGGCATTCCAGGGCTTCCCAGGTTTGGATCCCAGCGTGGACCTACAAACTGCTCATCAAGCCATGCTGTGGTGGTGTCCCACATAAAAAAATAGAGGAAGATGGGCACAGATGTTACCTCAGCAACAATCTTCCTCAAACAAAAAGAGGAAGATTGGCGACAGATGTTGGCTCAGGGCCAATCTTCCTCACCAAAGAGAAAAAGAATTGAAGCATAGTTACTGCTGTTCACCCCACAACAGCAACCAATCTGCCAGGAGTATGAGTGCAATGAGTGTTGGAGCTGGAGAAAGAAGAAGAGCAATGAAGTAGCTCTAAACCTCCATGGTGATAGAAGAGAAAGAGAAAGGAAAAGGGGAGTAGCTAAATTGGGCACTTGTTCCCCATACAAAACTTTAAGATATTGTTCTCTAAGGTGTTTTCTGACATAAGGAGATCTAATTGGGACCAGAAAAGCAGTAAAGAATGCCAAATAATTTAAAATCCCAAAGAATGATAGAGAACCCTACCCTCACATCCAAAATCAAGTCATTCATAGACCCTACCTAGTCACATATCTTACCCAGTCCCCAAAGAGCATTGAAAATCATTAAACATTTCAGAAAACAATTACCAAAAATCAACTTAAGAAAAATGACTATTCAAACAAATAAGAAATCTTAAAGTTAAAATATGTTTCTAGCAATGTTCCAGATATTTATCACTGCATAAAAAAATACCTCCCTAGTGGCACAAACATTTTACTGCATTTAACCATTTTGTGGGTCAGGGAACAGGGCAGGTCTCAGTTGGGTGATCTTTCTATTCCTTGTGTCATCGACTGATGTCATATGCAGCTGTCAGATAAACTGGTCTAGACTTTCCAAGACAGATTTATTCACGTGCCTGGTGCCTCACTGGGATGGCTGGAAGAATGGACTTGGTTGGAACTGTCAACCAGAGCATCTACAAGTTGCCTCTTAACACAGCAATCTCAGGGCAGTCAAATTTCTTACATGATGGCTGGCTTCCCCAAAGCAAAAATTCCAAGAAACCAAAGTGGAAGCTACAAGGAATCTTAGAACCCAGTCTTGGAAATCCAGTAATAGCATTTCTGCCCACATTCTAATGGTCAAGCAAAACTAAGGCTAAGCCTTAGGTACTCTCCACTCAAAGGCAGAGAATTAGATTACACTTTCAATAAGAGGAATAGCAAAGAATTTGGGACCACATTGAATCTACCACAGATGGATAGTTTCCACTCATGGCCATGATGGAATAACTAGTACCAGAAAAACCCTCCTGCAGTAAACAACTAGAAAACTGGAAAAACATGAAACAGCTGTTTTCAGACATTGGACAAAAGGCATGAAAGATTATGATCTCTGAGAAAGAGAAATAAATGAGGGGATCCCAACGATCACCTGGTTTTCTGGAGAGAAGCACTTCCTGGAAATCAGTTCAGGGAGAAAAAACCTAAGCAGAGTACCATGATGTTGATGAGCTAAGAAGATAGAGACTGAATTTTGGGAAGGCCCAGGTGACTGAAAATTTCAGAATAGAATATAAAAGAGAGAAAGAAACAAGGCAGAGAAAGAGTCCCAGAAATATGCACAAGGTCCCCTTGAAACATTCACTGAATCCTAACTCCAGAGGATGGGCATCTGCCACACTGGACAAAGTAGAATTATGAAAGAAGTACAACTACCAGGGACCTGTAGGATAAACAATTACTAAAGCAAGTACAAAGCAGAAAGATCTTTGACCAACTGCAAAAGAAAAACTTTGTTAAATACTGAAAGTATTAGGTAGAGGCTCCAGGAAGGCCATGCCTTATGAGTAGGACTAATTAGTCCTAGAGCAGTGGGTCTCAACTGGAGGTGATTTTGCCTGCTAGGAGACATTTACTAATATATAGAGCTAGATTTGATTGTTGAAGGAGGGCTGATCTTTGCATCCAGTGGATAGAGGCCAGGGGTGCTGCTAAAAATCCTACAATGCACATGACAGTCCTACCAAAAAGAAAAAGAAAGAAATATGGCAATAGTCCTGAGATTGAGAAACCCTGATTAGAGTAAGACTACTTTAGACCTGATCTAGTAAAGTTTAAAAACAAGCTTCAGATTGATTAAGCTCATATGCAATTAAATACATTGCTAATCAGAAAAAAAGATCTCAACAATCTTTAAATGAAACAACAAAATTAAAGGAAAACAACAATATTCAGACTATTTTTGAAAATTGTAATCACAATCTCCAAATTCAAATACAAATTTTCTAAACATGCAAGAAGCAAGAAAATTTCACCCATAAAAAGGAGAAGGGAAAACAGTCAATAAAAACAGACCCAGAAATGACAGAGATGACGAACAGAGAATATAAAACAGCATTATAAATATTTTCCAGAACTTAAAGGAAAATATGAACTTAAAGAAGAGAAAAGTGGAAACTATGAAAGAGAACTAAACTGAACTTCTAGGGCAAAGATATGCACTATCTAAAGTGAAATGTCACTGGCTAAGCTCTTAAGATGAGAAACTGCAAAAGAAACTGTACACTAAAAACTACAAAACATTCTTGAGACAAATTAAAGACCTAAATAAAAGGAGAGATGTAATGTGTTCGTGGATTGGAAAATTCAGTATTGTTAAGATATAAACTCTCTCCAAGTTGATCTATAGATTCAGCAAAATTTCAATCAAAAAATCAGCAGGCTTCTTTTCATAGAAATTGACAAACTGACTCTGAAATTTATGATGAATTGCAAAAATCAAGAATAGCCAAAATAAATTTGAAAATAAGAACAAAGTTGGAGAACTCACTTCAGGGCTTAAAGAGACACTAATGAAACAGTTTTGTCACAGTAGAGAGACAAATAAATAGATCACTGGAGCAGAAAGGAGTCCAGAAATAATCTACATATATACTATAGACAACTGGTTTTTGGTTTTTTTTTATAAAGGTACTAAATGGGTTCCTGAACCCATTTTCCAACATGTGAAAGGTAGGGGTGGTCTTCCCCACACATCCAAGCACTGCTACAGACACCAGCTGCATGTCCTATAATTCAACTCAATTCTGACACTATCTACCTGGAGATAGCATCAGACTCCACAGGGTAAGGGTTCAGTCCTACAAGACTGCCCTCCTGCCCTCCAGATGCCAGTCACCTGCCCAGATTGTCACCTAAATGTGACCTACTGGCTATAAATCAGAGGTCCCCAAGACCCCCTCCTTGGCTTCAACTAATTTGCTAGAAAAGTTCATAGAATTCAGAGAAACAATTTACTTACTAGATCACTGGCTTATTATAAAAGGATATAACTCAGGAACAGCCAGATGGAAGAGACGCCTAGGGCAAGATATGGGGGAAAAACTTAGCTTCCACGTCTTCTCCAGGTGCTCCACTCTCCCCAATCTCCACATGTTCACCAGTCTGGAAGTTTTCTAAACCCTCTCCTCTTGGGCTCTTATGGAGACCACATTACATAGGTATGATTGATTAAATCATTGGCCATTGGCCAATGGCCATTGGCCTCTCTCCCCTCCCCGGATGTGGGGGATCAGGGCGGGAGGCGGGGATTGAAAGTTCTAACCGGCTAATCACATGATTGGTTCTCCTGGCAACCAGCTCCCATCGTTAGGTGGGGTCTAAAAGTCACCTTCTTAACATAACAAAAGACATCTTTTTGCTCTCATAGTTAGGAAATTCCAAGGATTTTAGGCGCTCTGTGCCAAGAATGAGGTTGAAGGCTAAATACATATTTCTTATTATAAGTCACAGTATTGCAGGTACAAAGAAAAAACTTCTATAGGAAACCTAGGAGAAAATATTTCTGACCTTGGATTAGAAAAAATTATTTAGATATAACACCAAAAGTATAATACATAAAGCTAAAAATTGATGAATTGGATTTCATCAAAATTCAGAACTTCTGCTCTTTGAAAGGTACTGTTAAAGGAATGAAAAGATAAGCCACAAGTGAGGAGAAGTAATTGCAAGTCAGGTATCTAAATAAAGACTTGAATTTAGAGTGTAGAACTCTTAAATGTAAATAAAAAGAAAATAAACACTCCAATTAAAACTTGAGAAAAGATTTGAACAGACTCTCCACCAAATAAAATATATTGATGACAAATAAATGTGTAAAAAGATGCTCAGCATCAATAGTTGTTAGGGAAATGCAGATGGAAATCACAATGACACATTATTACACACCTATTAAAACAGTTAAAACTGAAAGGACTAAGCACACTTGGTGTTGGTAAGGATTTGGACAAACCTGAACTCACAGATACTGCTGATGGGCACGTAACACGACACAACCACCTTGGAAAACAGTCTGGAAGTTTCTTGAAAGTTAAACATACACCTAACATATGATCCAATCATTCTACTCATTAATATTTATCCACAAGAAATGGAAGCACACATATATAAAAGACGTGTACACACTTCTTCACAGCAGCATTACTTCCAATATTTCTAACAGCCCCAGATTGAAAATATCCCAACATTTCAGACATTGAAATACTTCTCAACAAGAAAAAGGAATGCAACGACACAGATAAATCTAGAGTAATTATGCTGAGTGACAGGGGTCAGACCAAATGAGTATATTCTTTATGATACAATTTATAGAAGAGCCTATAAAATCTAAACTTATTTATAGTTGGAGAAAGCAAATCAGTGGTTGCTTGTGAACTGGGAGTAGTGAGAGGAAGGGATTTCAAAGGTGCACAAGGAATCTTTTGTGAGTGATGAATATATTAACTTTCTTGATTGTGGTAGTGGTTTTATAAATGTACACAGATTTCAAAACTTATCCAATTGCATCCTTAAATAGACGTGGATTATTGAATTTTAATTATACCCCAATAAAATTAATTTTAATAAAAAGAAATATTGGCCAAACTTTTTCTTCCAAATTTGATGAAAACTGTAAACACTTATATCCCAGAAGCTCAATAAGCACCAAGCAGAATGACACATAGAAAATCACGTGGTTCTATACGTGGAAATACACCACTCAGATCCACCTTCAAGGAAAGATTTGTTGTCCCAACTCTGGGAGTACTGTCAGTAAACAGCCTGGAACTTTCAGCCCACTTAAAGATTGCTTCAGTTGCAGAGAGCCGCCTCACCCAAGGGGATGCCCTTCAGCGGGGTGCTCATATTCAAATCACTGATCTTGGCAGAGGCATCCAGAGGTCCCCATGAGGTGAACTGGGGCTGTTGGGCCATCATGACACCCTCATGTCTCTCTCTGCACAATTCCCACTTAACCTATCATCCTTCCACAGTTGTTGAGCCGTGGGCACTCCCTCAGAAACAATCTGAACAACCGAACTCTGTCTCAGAATGTGCTTTCCAGAGAATTCGGCCTGAAATGTCAAGGCACACCATAAGCAAATGCCTGTACTCAAAAGAGGGAGGAAAATTTCCTAAAAGCAGACAGAGCTACAAGATACATTATATACATGATTTTTTAAAGTCTACAGACTTCTTATCAAAAACAGGGCAAGCTATACAATATGAAATCATTATGTTGTACACCTGAAGCCAATATAATGCTATATGTCAATTATACTTCAATTTAAAAAACTGCAAGCCAGAAGATAAGGGAGTAACATTCTGAAAGTTTTTAAAGAAAAAGAAATGGTCAAACTAGAATTCCATATTGAATGAAAACCTCCTTTAAAAATGAAGGCAAAATAAAGACTTGTTCAGAAAAACAGAAGAATGAGGTAATTTTCCACCAGGAGACCTACACTACAAGAAACGATAAAGAAAGTTCCTTAGGTGGAAACAAAATGATACCTGATGGAAAAGCATGAAGAGCGGTAAAAATGATAACATGAGAGTAGACATATAAAACTCTAGTTTTTCATTTCTTTTGATAATAACTGATTATTTAGAGGAAAAATAATAACTTTGTACTCTAGAGTTTAAAACATATGTAAAATGTATGACCATAACAGAAAGTACAGGAGAGAAGAAATGGAAGTGTATGGCTATAAGATTTTTACAATATGTGGTTGCCAGCTTCCAAGATGCCTCTCAATCATCTCTACTTTCTGATATTCATGCAATTATGTGTCACCCTCCCACTCTGAGCCAAGTGACCTGCGTGACCAATAGAATACTAGAGAAATGATTCTGTGTCACTTTTGAAGTTAAATTATGGAAGGCATTGTGGTTTCCAGCTTGTTCTCTTGGGATACTTCCTCTGGGGGAAGTCTTCCCATGTCATGAGGACATTCCATCAGCCCTGTAGAATAAACCCCTGGAGAAGAACCAAGTCTACTTACCAACCATCGGCATGGTCTTGCCAGCCCTGTAAGTGAGCCACCTTGGAAACACCTCCTCCAGCCCCTAAAACCTTCAGATGACTGGGGCCCCAGATGACATCTTGACTGCAATCTCACAAGAGGCCCCGAGGCACAAATACTACTAAGCCACTTGCAATTTCCTGACCCACAGAAACTGTGAGAGATTTCTTTAAATGTCTGTTGTTGTTTTAAGCCATAAAAATTCCCACTCATTTTATAAGTATTACCCTGATATCAAAACCAGATAAGAATATTACTCAAAAAGAAAACAAGAGACATGAAGAAGTACATTCCATAATTGCAGAGAAATACAAGTGGGGTTTATACCATGAATACAATGTTTAATAACTGAAAATCAGATTACAGCATATAAGAGAAAAACTATATGATCATACCAATATAATTTGACAAAATCTAACACCTATTCATGATTTTTAAATAATAATTCCGTAAACTAGGGAGAGAAGAGAACTTCCTCAATTTGATAAGGACATTTATAAAAAGCCTGCAGGAAGCATTACTCTTAGTGGTAATAGATTTAATGTTTTCTCCAAGTTTGTGAAAAAAAAAGTCTAGGATGACTGCTCTTATAATTTCTATTCAACAGTGTACTGGGAGTCCTAGCTCACTACAATCAGGCAAGAAAATTAGAACTAATAAGTTGATTTAGCACAGTCACAAAATGCAAGGTCAATATACAAAATTCACTTGTATTTCTATGTACTAACAACAAATAATTGGAAAATAAAATGTAAATAATACCATTTAAGGTAGCATCAAAACACATAAAATAATTAACAAAGTATGTGCAAGAGCTATATACTGAAAGCTATAAAACGTTGATAAGAGAGACTAGAGAAAGCCTAAATAAATGGAGAGATATACTATGCTTGTGGCTTGCAAGACTTAATATTGCTATGATGTAAATTCTCTCCAAAGTTATTTATAGATTTAATGCAATCTCAATCAAAATTTCGGCAGATATTTTGCATAAATTGACATACTGATTCTAAACTTACACAGAAATACAAAAGACCAAGAACACCCAAAACAATTTTAATTTTTTTTTTTTGAGGAAGATTAGCCCTGAGCTAATATCTGCTGCCAATCCTCCTCTTTTTGATGAGGAAGACTGGTCCTGAGCTAACATCTGTGCCCATCTTCCTCTCCTTTATATGTGGGACGCCTACCACAGCATGGCTTTTGCCAAGCAGTTCTATGTCTGCACCCGGGATCCGAACTGGCGAACCCTGGGCCACTGAAGCAGAACATGTGAACTTAACCGCTGCGCCACCAGGCCGGCCCCCAAAACAATTTTGAAAAATAAAACTGGAGGACGTATACTATCTGATTGCAAGACTTGCTATAAAGCAAAAGTACGATATTGGCATAAAGATAGACGTATGGATTAATGGAACAAAATTGAAAGTCCAGAAATAAACCTAAACATATGTGGTCAGTTCATTTTGTACAAAGGCACCAAAGTAGTTCAATAGGGAAAGGATTGTCTTTCCAACAAATTTTCAGAAACAGCTGACTGTCTATGTTTCCAATTAGGGGAAAAAAAAAAAGCTCTTGAATAATTTCTTGCCTTGTACACAAAACCATGAACAATAGAAGAAAAAATTTTAAATTGTACTTCATCAAATCTAAAATTTTCTATTCTTCAAAAGGCACTGCTTTTCAAAAAACACTGTTAAGAAAATAAAAAGTTAAGGCACAAAAGGAGAAAGTAGCTGCAACACTTATAAAGGACTTGTAACTGGAATGTTTACAAATCAATAAGAAGACAAATGACTCAACTTGAAAACGGTCAAAAGGTTTGAAGAGGCATTTCAGGAAGATGTATGAATGGCCACAAAGCACATGGAAAGATGCACAATGTCATTAGACATTAGCGGAATGCATGTTAAAACCATAATGAAATACTTCTACGTGCCCGTTAGAATGGCTAAAAGTTAAAAGCCTGACCATAACAAATGTTGATGGAGATGTAGAGCAAACGGAACCCTCATACATTGATGGTAGAAATGCAAAATAGTACAGCTACTTTGAAGTACCATTTTCAGATTCTTATGAAGTTAAACATATATTTACCACACAACCTAGCACTTCTACTCCTTGGTAGTCACCTACGAGATATAAAAGTGTATGTCCACACAAAGACTTGCAAGTGAATGTTCATAGTAGCTTCATTCATAATAGACTCAAACAGGAAACAACCTAAATGCCCATCAAGCGGTAGGGTGACAAATAAATTGTAACATATCTGTATAATGGAAT